AGAGTAAGATATGCAAAATTTTCAACAGGATACAAAACTAAAGGATCATATCCTGATATGAGTGCACTGGAAGATAAAGCTTAACGCCCGTAATATGTGCATTAAAGATTCAACAACTTTATAGTATAAATTGTCTCATATGTTAGTGAGTTGTTTAGAATAAATGATACAATATGGACAAAAAATCAACTAGTGTATTAAAATTTAAGGCTGTTGGTGTACGGGTAAAAATTACATTGTGTTGTATTGTATGGACATATCTCATAGAACTAGGTAAGTATAAAAGCTATGCTTTGTTAATAATTAGTTTGATTGAAGCATATTTCTTTATTTATCTGAGATTTTTGTAATGCATTAAGTTCTTACTGCTGGCAAGCACGTAGTTGGTTGTCATTTACATTCTTATTTTCATATTTTTTTTAAAGAAATTTCAAACAAATAGGCAGGGATAGACATAATTAAATGACGGGGCTGAACATTTTTTTTGAGATTGATATTGTTTTCTTTTCTTTTTTATGTAGGTTTAGACCAATAACTTAAGTCAACATTTCAGCTCACTCCGTTTTTTCAGAATAATTTTTCTAAATGTGAATAGTGGTCCAAAATCGGGTTAGCAATAGCGGACATTTATTTCTGAGTACATTTCTTAATTATCCTTTACAGGTCTTTCTATTTTAAGTACCCCAGCTGATCTTTGTAAGAAATTCAAATCTCATGTTTTTAGGTTTTTGGACCTCATGGGAGTTCCTTTAATTATAGCCTCAGAAAGTATCATTTTAAACCTATTAAGCAATATACTATGCTGAATGTGGATCCATTCATTTATTTATCACACTTTTTAAGCTGAATATCATTTTATAATAGGTGAAGTTGATTAAAATTTACATACATCGTACAGCCGTAATTTTGTTTGTTTATCTAGGCACGTGCAATATGAAATTATTTCATTTGTACTTTCAGCATATTCCGGATGTGCAGGTACGCTTCCAGAAAGTCAAGGTATATTCAGATCATTTGATATTAACAACTTACCTTTCCTAATCATTTTAAAACGATGTACATTTGAAATGCATTCAAGTAAATAAACAAGACTTTGTGCTATTGATATATGTAGAACTGTTATGGACTAGTTAAAGGGTAGGTTTATTCACATAAAGTTTGTCGGTGGGTTTATGATGAACACATTACTATTGACTGCAACAGTGATATTTCATCAATGTAAGTCATTCACGACCCAACACTTTCTGCAAGAGAGGTAGAAATTGAGGGAAAACAATAGCTCCTATTGCAACTATGTTTGTTTATTTTGTTAGATTTTATACACGTAAATCGTTTATGTCAAAATATTTAGGTTAAATGCATAATGTAACACTGAATGTCCATGATCTTACTTGAATTGCCCATAAAAATAAGTTCCAATTTGATTTTCTTTTATAATTTTTAAAGGAGAGAGGTGTCTACCCACTCGTGTTTTGAAGTAAATTCGTCATATCTGAAGCAAAATTCTGGATTCCAAAATCCCTGTTGAAAAAGAAAACTGTTTCAAGTTTAAATATCAACATTATGTACAAGTAAAATAAAAAATCTTTATGTCTGCCATCTTGTTGCTACAGAAAATTTGTTTCGCTGAAAATGTCCGGGTTCAAGTCTAAAATATCTATCTGCTGATGTATTCATATTTAAATTATTCTTCCGCCCCAAAATGAGGTCCTGAAGAAAGTTTTAATGGGGCACTTCAAACTTTAAAAAAATCTAATCTACAACGGATGTGGTTTTATTCCGTATCCTGTAAACGTAAATCATCTATCAGAACTTTAATGTTACACAGTAAAAACAAAACCCAATACAAAAGTTTTCCTTTTATTTTTGTTCCTTTTCACATTCCGAGTATCTGGTACGATTTATTACATAGAGTTAAGTAGGTATACATTCTTTCCTTTATCTAAATGAAACAGACAATCATTCTGATGCAACACCGTGCATAAAGTAATACTAGTAAAATCAAAAGAATGTGTGCTTTATAAGTTGAGACATGTGCCCTTAGACATTAACCATAACGTTAATTTTTCCCCAAAGATGTTTATATAACAAATGTTCAAATTGTTTTAACAAATGGACAATGATTTGATTGGTCAAATGAAATAGCTCAGGTGTCTATATTTGTATTTTATTTCTTTAACTGTATGTTTTTCAGTTGCCCAAATGTGCATAAACAGTATGGCGTCAGGTCAAACTGTTTATATCGATACGACAAAAGCAAAAGCAACAGATAATTCATCCGGGCCCCTCTGTATCTGCAATGCTACGATATCCAATGCCAGATTTGTGAATGTCAGGGTTCTGGCAAAAACTGAGGCGTGTGGTTCTAAACTCAAATTTGACTTTACAAACAAACAGGTGGAATCAGATGAAAATAAATGCAGGTTAACAAAAGAATTGGTACAAATAGAAAATCAACAAGAAGTTATCATGTCGCTTGAGAAAATAAAAACACCGTACAGTGCCGATTTCTGTACAAAAATAGAAATAGGTAAAGAAAGTCGTAATTGTTTAAGTAGGTTCATATTTGATTTTACACATACACAATGAGACAATGTGGTTAAGTTTTTAACATATGATAAAACATTATATAATATTATATAATTGCACTTTTGTTGTAAATATGTACGTATTACCCGCCAAATAACAAATTTACATTAAAAAATAAAACGTATGAAATATGTTACAGTAACAGTATGTTAATCACCGCAAAGCACGTAAAAATGTGTCGTGTAGCACTTTTCATTAAATATTATACACGGGACTGACTTTATCACAGGTTGACAACACGACAAGTTATCGTTGCGTGTAGGAATAAGGTTGGATATAGCATCACCTGTGATCTTTGAACATTTTTTTCCCTAAGGCATCTATCTATACCTGTTTGTAAAATTTAGTCAATAATAGTGTATGTCAGGGGCTACATTATATTTACTATCTGCAGAACAATGTTCCAAGCCGGATGATTACCAGTGTAACTCTAATGGTGAGTGTATTGCCGGAACACAAGTTTGTGATAATGTTCCTGATTGCGAGGATGGGGACGATGAAGATTCAAACAAATGTCAAAACGGTACATTTTTTTTTATAATTTATGAGGGATAAATGACGCAGTTCTAATCTATTTCGTAAGTTACAGATATACTATGCTCAAAGTTGATGGTAGAAAATATTGATAATTGCTACACAATCTCTTTGTAAATGTAAAATAAACATGTTTTAACTTTGCACAAACATATATGTTATGTTTAAAATTCTACAAACTATAGATGGTCACAATATGTATATACTCGTATAATGTCTTGAAAAAAAACAGGCAGTTCTTTAAGAAAAGACCAAATTTACTTGCCCCTGTAAAAGGGAACGCAGTTTCCTATACCTAGTTTATTCATTCTTTTTATTCAAAAAAAGAATTTCATAGATTTCAGTAAATTACTGGACTCAGTGATGAGCATAGTATTTGTGATGGTGTTGCTATTGTTGTTGTTGTTGTTGTTGTTGTTGTTAGAATGAAAACGTTTAAACAACCTTTATCAGTGTTGAATTGAGAAAAATTAGCTGAATTGATTAACAAATTCTGTAATTAATCTGCTATGTAGATAAGCATAGATTTTGACCTCACATGTGCTGTTTTCTAATCCGTCCGGAAACTTTATATGCACTGAAGCAATGCCTACGATGTTGAGCCGCATCTGGCAAAATACATAACACAGTAGCTATGTAAAATTGCAGCGTGACTAAATGCACTTTGTGCTATTTATCAAATCTTGTCAAAGCATATAAAACCGGGAAGAAACATATCAATTATCTTTGATCTAGTCAAGTTCTCTTCATTAGGGCACGGATTTACTAAGTATATTACATGTAATATAAATCCGTGATTAGGGCTATACATGTACATGTATATACACTTAAAATACTTTTAAAATATAATGTGACTTTTAACAGGATGACATTTTTGACGAGAGATAAACAATATCTCATCAGTCGCTGTAGATAGTAAGATTTAAAAAAGAAAATATATCAATTTATAATTTTTTACCCCGTAACCCAGTAAATTTCTTAATTCAGCCTGTCCAACTGCAATATTTTGATATTGTTCAACTGTCATTATCAAACCAGAAGATACAGTGATGGAAGTTTTAAGTCAAAGGTATAAAGAGATTTGCCATAGGAGCTATTATATGGCGAATGTTTGAACAAACTTGTAAACAAATGAAACGTTGTTTTTCTCTTCTTTTTTTTGTTCTTCTTTTGTGAACGTTATGTTTCTCATGATATTAATACATATATATGTGATTTCAAACAACTACATAAAAACTTTTGAATATATTTTTTTTCAAAAATAGTAGGATCTGAAGAGAGTTGCACCTCTAAGTTAATAACCATATCATTGTTAATATGTATCACGAACATGGTAAAAAGGTAAATGTTTTAGGCCTTGAATGACTTGGCATTGATTAAACCACATATGAATGGCCGTGTTGTATGGTGGCTGATTTGGAACACTTTTGTGTGTCGTGTGTCGCTAGCGACAACACAACAAAGCGCCAAACGGCGCGTTGTCGGACTTTTGCCTTGTCGTCGTGTCGCTACCGATGCACGCCAGACGGCGCGTTGTAGTGCGGCGTGTTGTCGCGATGTCACATTGTCGCTTGGCTCAAATCGAAGGATTGGCTATTCACCGCACGACAACACATCTTTTAGCGTGCTTCGCTAGCGACATGACGACAATACGACAGTGTGACAACTCGCCGTTTTTCGCTTTCCGATAGCGACAAGAAGAAAAGGCGATAACGATATAAGTTATGTTGTCGCTATCGACCACGCAACGCGCAAAGTGTACCAAATCAGCCATCATAGTGTTGAACCATTTCCATCGCAAGTCAAACACTTAGCATTTATGATAATTTCTGTTTATTGCGCCGAGTTTACAAGAATCGTTTTTGATATAATTGTAGCTATGTGCTCGGAGGCATTAAAACCTTGCAAAAATGGAGCCCAATGTTTTTCTGATGCGGAGAGATGTGATAATGTGTCTAAATGTGATGATGGTACTGATGAAGAAGGCTGCTGTAAGTATCATATACTAGTATAATGTATGCTATTAAGCCGATGCAACATGGACGGGGGGCCTCTATGTTGGCATGCACAATAGCATTAGTCTTAAAGACCCATTATGACCTAGAAATACATTTAAAAAAGATTCAAATGTTTTTTATAAATTTTTTTATGTCTTTTAGTTCTAAATGTTTACTGATTAGTCAATTACCTGGATCATATGTTGTCTATGTTCCCTTTTGCAGATAGAAAGTCATTAAGTATTTTGTATGGATTTCAAAATACTTCTTTGATTACATTTTGCTAATTTAATGACAAATTATTTCACATTCATCTCTAATTTTTCAAGTAACAAGTGTGACGTCTAACATTTCTCTAAAACCATTATTTAAACACTGTAAAATTTATGCTTGTTCTTTCTAAAGAAGTAAAGATATATTTGTTTCTGATGCATAATGTGCCTAATATATAATAATATGTGAAACATTTCAGTTTATACATTTCATAAAAAGATATATAGTTCAATTCACGAGTTTTATACCCTATGACATAAATCTTTACTTTTTGAATAACGGCTATGGATATCTGATTTGTTAACCAAAGGCCAAGCGCTAACGCGCGCTGGTTGGAACACATACAGTATCATTTATAGTATCTTAATATTTTTACAGTTCTTGACCAGGCAGTGTTTGAAACATGGACGGAAGGTAAAACATTCTAACACTTTAATTTAATTAATCATTTAAGATTATTTAAAATACTATTCTGCATAAAATGTTTATCTTTATTACATTTTCAGTATAATTATATACATGTATGTATTAAATGCAAACATATTACTGATTGGTACCAAATAGCTAAATGTTTTTATTTGTATGTAAATAAAGCACAACGTACAGACCCCATTATAAGAATCCAATGTTATGAAAGTACAAGGTTTTCGACAACAACGACCACTACCACGACATCCACTTCTTCTACGACGACTCCCACGACGACTAACACACCTTCAATAATAACAACAACAATGGCGCAAACATCGACTACTACAACAACAACAACAACACACTCAACAACCCCAGCAACAACAACAATAACTACAATGGAAACATCAACAACACAAACAACGCCTACAACAAGGTCTATTACTACTGACGATTTTACTAATGATACAATTCTCAACATCGAAGAGTTACCAACTCGACGCAACTTTATACAAACGACAATAGAAACACGTGTAAACAGTACCCAGAAAGAAAACACTAATAGAGATGAAGAAATTTTAACCACGACAACCGCGATCCCGCAGACAACTACCAGGACAACATCTACAACACTGTCAACATCAACAACTTCAGTAGCACCAACAGCAATGCCTCAGGCAACAGCAACAACTACAGTAGCAACAACAAAAACAGTGCCAACATCAACAACGCAGTCGACAAGTTTTATTGCTACTGGCGGTATAACGAACGATATAATGTTTAACAGCATAGAGTTAACGACGGAACGCAACTTTGAACAATCAACAGCTCAAGCTAGTGTTAACAATACTAAACAGGACTACATTGATAAAAGTATTTCAACCACGGCTATCCCGACCACAACGACGAGCACAAATAAAACAACAATGGCGCCAATAACGACTACAAAAATAACAAGACAGTCAACATCAACAACTTCAGCAGCAGCATCAACAACAAATTCTCAGACAACACTAATGACAACAACCTTTGAACAAACAACAAAAGAAGCACGAGTAAACAGTTACCAGCAAGAATACACTAATAAAGATAATGATATTGTCACTGCGATTACAACGACCCCGCCCACAACGGCTACTACAACTACAACAACAACACCGTCAACATCAACTACTTCAGAAGCACCAACAACAACACCTCAGACGCCGCCAACAACAACAACAACAAAAGCAACAAGGGAAACAGTACCAGCAACGTCTTCATTAATTTCTATTACATCCGATGTTATAACGAATGATACAATGCTTAACAACAAAGGTTTAACAACGGAAGGTAACTTGAAACAAACAACAGTACAAACACGTGTAAACAGTACTCGGCAAGAATACAGTAATAAAGGGAAAGATATTTTAACCACAACCACAACATCTCCGCCCACATCGACAACAACAACAACAACATTGTCACCCACTACAACTGCAAAAACAACAAGTCAGTCAACCTCAACAACTTCAGCAGCATCAACAACAAGTCCTCAGACGCCAACAACAACAATAGCAACAACAGAAACTGTACCAACAACGCTTTCAATAATTTCTATTACTACTGATGGTATTGTGAATGATAAAATGCTAAACAGCAAAGAGTTAACGACCCAACGCAATTTTGAACAAACAACAGCACAAACACGTGTAAACAGTACTCAACAAGAATACAATAGTCAAGACAAAGATATTTTAACAACAACTACAAGTACCCCGCCCACGACGGCTACAGCAACAACAACAACACCTTCAACATCAACTACTTCAGAAGCACCAACAACAATGCCTCAGACGCCAAAAACAACAACAAAAGCAACAACGGAAACAGTACCAGCAACGTCTTCAGTTATTTCTATTACATCCGATGTTATAACGAATGATACAATGTCAAACAGCAAAGGTTTAACAACGGAACGCAACATTAAACAACCAACAGTACAAACACGTATGAACAGTACTCAACAAGAATACAGTAATCAAGACAAAAATATTTTAAGCACAACATCCCCGCCAACATCGATTACTACTACAACAACAACACCGTCAACATCAATTACTTCAGATGCACTAACAACAATGCCTCAGACAACAACAACAACAAAAGCAACAACAAAAACAGTACCAGCAACGTCTTCAGTTATTTCTATTACATCCGATAGAATAACGAATGATACAATGCTAAACAACAAAGGTTTAACAACGGAACGTAACTTTAAACAAACAACAGTACAAACACGTATGAACAGTACTCAGCAAGAATACACTAATAAAGGTAAAGATATTTTAACCTCAACATCCCCGCCCACATCGACTACCTCTACAACAACAACAATGGCACCCACAACAACTGCAAAAACAACAAGTCAGTCAACCTCAACAACTTCAGCAGCGCCAACCACAAGTCCTCAGACGCCAACAACAACAACAAAAGCAACAATGAAAACAATACCAACAACGCTTTCAATAATTTCTATTACTACTGATGGTATTGTGAATGATAAAATGCTGAACAGCAAAGAGTTAACGACCCAACGCAATTTTGAACAAACAACAGGACAAGCACATGCAAACAGTACTCAACAAGAATATTTAAATAAAGATAAAGAAATTTTAACTGAAAATACAACATACCCGCCCGCAACGACTTCTATAACAACAACAATCGCATCAACAACGACTGCAAAAACAACAACACAGTTAACCTCAGTTACTTCAGCAGCATCAACAACAAGTTCTCAGACAACAATAATGACAACAACAACAACAACAACTGGAAAAGCAGCAACGAATAAAACATCAACACCAACAATGTCTTCGACAAGTTCTATTACTATAGATGGTATGACAAATGATAAAATGTTACATAGCAAAGAGTTAACAACCCAACGCAACTTTAAACAAACAACAACAATGTTACATGCAAACACCGAAGAAGACGCCTATAATAAAGATGAAGATATTGTAACCACCATTACCACGAACCCGCACTCAACCAGTTCCACTTCTTTAACAACAACAATGATGCCGCAAACAACAACAACACAGTCAACATCAACATCCCTAGCAGCAACTATAGCTCAGACTATAAAAGCAAAAGTAACAACGAAAACAACACCAACAACGTTTTCGACAGGTCATTTTACAACAGACGGTGTTACAGATGATGAAATGCTACACAAAGAGTTAACGATTAAACGCAATTTTAAACAAACAACAGTAACAGCACATGCAAACGGCACACCACAAGAAGGCATTGCAAAAGATGAAGAGACCACACCAAAATATCCTTGTGAGTTATTTTTTATAATTATTACATAATGATTCACAGGTTTCATGTCAGGAACCATAAAAGTCACTGACATTACCTTATTTGGTTAAACAAATGTGGCATTTTCATTGGCAAATGTGTGACTCGGAAATAAGTATTTGAAAATATTCCATTTTATCGATTATTTTATACTTAAAACATTTTAAGCAATACTATGTCAATTATTTTATACATGATAAATTAAACTCGATTGCCACCAAATCAATAAACCTTTGTAAAAGAATATTTCCAAATAGGGAGCATTTTGGTGGACCTAGTTCAAATTACAGGAGTTGTCAATGGAAGGCGGGCATCTTAGAATTGTGATACTTTTTAATGTGGTTTCGATTTTTTGTTTTATCTAACCTTTTGTCAACGCTTTTTACCACTTGAGTCAGAATTAAGTGTACAAATTATATATTGGTGCATTCTTTATTATCACGTGACCTTTTCGAATGCTGACAAAATGTACGGTATAGTTATAAATAGTGCTTCGAGAACTGGTACAGATTTTATATAGCTTAATTTATAAGCTTTTCTTTCTGTCATTTCAGATATTGATGGCATTGTAGTTGGTATATTAGTCCTGGCAGCTGTTACAACATGCATTGTTTTAGCAGCAGTGAGACATAAAAAGAAAAGGTATATTTGGTTCTATTAATTATGAAATGAAATAATCACTTGTATCTCCTGTACCCGAGCCTCCGATAAAAGCATGAATTTTCACCTTTTAATCAAACCCCACCATGCACGGATATTCATATGTAAAAATATCCGTTCAATGCTCCTGTTCTGCGAGTTGAATTTTGCTCCTTACGACTTTATTTTGGTGCCAAGTCAAAAAGATGACCGTTAAATGATCGAGTTCTGCGATTTGATAATCGTTCCTCCCCAATTTATTTTGGTGCAAAGTCAAAATATAGCCGTTCAATGCTCCTATTCTGCGAGTTAAAAATCGCTCCTCCCTAATTTATATTGGTGCCATGTCAGAAAATTCCCGTGATATGCTCCTGTTTTGCAAGTTGAAAATCCCACCTTCCTATTTATTTTGGTGCCAAGTCAAAATATACCCGTTAAAGACTCCAATTCTGCGAGTTGAAAATCGCTCCTCCCCAATTTATTTTGGTGCCAAGACAAAAAATGCCCGTTAAATTCTCCTGTTCTGCGAGTTGAAAATGGCTCCTTCCAAATTCATTTTGATTCCATGCCAAAAAAAAAAAACTCGTTTAATGCTCCAGTTCTGCGAGTAGTAAATCGTTCCTCCAAAATTAATTGTGGGGCCATGTCAAAATCACCTATTGACCTGGCAGCGCGGGGACGAGCAGAAGGCAAAACCTTGTCCAGAACCTTGTCCACCTTACAATCATGGAGATGGGTGGAGTAACAACTAAGTGTAACATTATATACACACATATATTTGATAAAAAATTTCAATATCCTTTTATTCGATATGATTATCAAAAGTTAAAATTATATCATACAGAAATAATTTCATCATTTAATTTTCAATTTTCTTACAATTTAAAATAAATGTATCTTTTCTCTGACTGTCAACAGTTGTTAAATTCTTTGATTTGTTTTCGACCTAGAAAACGGAAATTCACTGATGTGTTGTGCAAAATAAAAAACAAAACAAATGTACACATGAATCTAGAATAAAAGCTTTGCGTATTAATATTTTGAAAGCAGCACTGTTTTATGAGGTGAAGCTTAAACATTTAGGAATTACCGACTGATCATGTAGAACAATAAAAGTTAGTATCTGTCGTCTTTTCAGGTCTGATTCCTGGGACGTACCCAACGACTTAATAATTGTGGATTTCTGGTAAAGATTCCGAGAAAGAACTCGAACCGCTCAACTCTGACTATTTACATGTATGACAATGTGTGCTTGTTCAGTGAGCTTAGTAATTAAAAAATGACATCGTTTCTTTTTCCTTCAACCACGGTAACGTGACGATAGAGATAGAGATACTTGAATTTCTTTGACTTACATGTAGCTGAATTGACTAGTTTAATTTTAGCTTATTGTTTCAATGTGTCGTTTGGAAAGGCGGGAAATATTGTTGAACAGATGAGTGTACAGTTTAAGTCTGAAACTGATAATTAAATTATTTTCAGGCAACTTTGGATATTATTCTATGTTATAATATATGTACAAGTTTGGCATATGTCACCAGTGCTACATGGTCGTTTAGATATCACACATTGGCATTCTAGTGCACATGTTTGTTCTTCTTTGTTTTGTGTAAACATAATTATTTAAATCGATTTTAGCAGGTCTAAATACCTGAATATTGTTGACTCTTATGCATTGGCTAAACTCAGATTATCATCTCAATTTATTTTTAGAAACAGCTAGTACACATAAAAGTATTGATATACGCGCGTGACCGAAAATGTTTTATTTGTAACAATTATGACATCGAAGATGAATATCACTTTGTGTTGATATGCTCTTTGTATGATTCTCTTAGAAAACAGTATATATATCCAACTTGTTTGCAAGAAACCCTAGCATGTTTATTTTTTAGAATAAGGAAGTCAGTGTTAACAAGCTTAGCTATGTATTGTAATAAAGCATTAAGATTTGATTCATTGAATGCCAGGTAATATATTAGACCACCCCTGCTGTAATGTTTAAAGTTATTAAAGGTTTGTATGTATAACATGTGTTGTATATTACACTCTCACTAATTTATTTACTGATATGCGTTATCATGCATGTATATATCGTTGTATATGAAGATGAGCTGTATATGCTTAATTAATTCAAAATAAAATGTGTTCTGTTCTGTTCCATCTTCAGTTTAAATAATTTAAAAACGTACAACAATGCCAGCGGCAATGATAAACCCTGTGATTTAAAAGCTTAAATATTTGACATTCAAAATATATTTTGTCGTTGAAACTATATAGAAATCCTCCTTAAACTTTGCATTTTTAAAAATGTATTTTGTCTTTCCCATCACTTCGTTCAAATACTGTTATGTTAAAAACTAATCCACACCAGTTTTTTTTTTAACTTTGGTTTCTTGAAACAAAAGTTTTAATGTGTGGAAAAAGAAAATGAACATTTCTCACAGCAACCTGGAATATACTTAATTAGCCGACAAAAAACTGAAAAGACAAACGTGCCGTGCATACAATTCATAATTTATAAAGAGTTAATATGTCGATATAAATGAGAATAAAATCACAAAATAAGAGCACATTTTGCCGACCAATCAAACTTTGATTTTATTCTAAGATTAGAAAACTTTCGTAAAAATGGAACCGTAGTTTTTTAATGTACTAAAAGTTAACGGTGTCTATTACGGTACCGGACTGTTAGCCACTTCGTACCGGATATGATACGGAAATACTCGAGAATTATCAATACTACCGTACTGTTATACATAAATTTAATTTAATACAGAGCGGACGTGATTTATGGACATTTCAAGTTACTTGAAGTGTGCAAAACTTTTCATTTGTGTTGTGTGTTAAGTTATCACTTCCTGAAAAGTTGCATGTATACAGATTGCCGTAGAAAATTGTCAGTACTTACACAAATTGTTTATGATTTATAGATTCTACATTCGTTTTGTATTTTGCAAATTTTATCTCGGCGGCGTTATTTCAAGGTGTTGTATTAGAGACAATAAATAAATATGCGTTACTTTGAGAACAAAGCTCAAGACTACACTCCAGGTTCATCAGTTAAAATTGATAAGCAAAACTGGATGCTTCAAATTTCGCAAATAGCAGAGTCAATTGTAGAGGGAATGCCAGCAACGATTGACAACTGTGATGGTGGATTATATGTTGGAAATGCAGGAATAGCATATATGTTTTACTGCCTAGCTCAAAATGAGGCGTTCAAGGACATGCGATCAACTTATTTAGAGCAAGCGGTAATGTATACAAATGTTTCCCAGGAGTATGTAAAAAGTTCAAGTCGTGACAAAGCCTCATTCATTCTCGGAGAAGCAGGTGTTCAGGCAGTGTCATGCCTTGTCTACGAAGCAAGTGGATCATCAAGTGTTGCAGAAAAGTTTTCAAGAAAGTACGCAGACCTGTCTGCTGTTTGTCTTCCAATAAAGTTCCTGAGATGTGGATCTGATGAATTATTTGTAGGTAGAGCAGGTTATCTTTGTGGGGCAATAAATCTACACAAAAAACTTGGGAAACAGGTACATGCTATTTATTAACAATTTTATTGAGAGCATATAAGTAAGTGGTTACAAATTAAGTCATGTTTAAAATTTCAAGTGAATTGTTGATGGAAATGGAAATTTGTAGTGATTGTCTATGAAGTTGAATGTGTTAACATACCTTGGCTTGCTGATTGTTTTTGTTTTCCACACTTTGCCAAAATCACCTGAGTGATGGGTCTGCCACCTTTCTCTTCAAAAGATGAAAAAATGGTAATGTAACGATTCGCCACATTAACGATTCGTCACATAACGATTCGCCACAGAGTAATAACGATTCGCCACAGTTATATAACGATTCGCCACATGTTGAAAATACAAACTTTTTCACACCTATATTAAAACTGTCTTTGAAACCCTCTTTCCCTTTTATATTTCATTCGTAAATTTCATTAATTAATGCTGAAAATTTTACTAAAAACGGCTTTTATTGAATAAAAACACATTAAAACAAACATATTTTATTACCAAAATTACATAACACAGTGATTTGTTAGTGACAAAACATGGATTTATTTTATTGAATAAAACACATTAAAACAAACATACTTCATTTCTAAAATTACAAAACACATTGTAAATTAGTTAACATTTGTTCATAATATACAACCTGGAAAATTACTAAATAAAGCCTTTATTGAATAAAACACATGAAAACGAATTTATTACCAAAATAATAAAACACTGTAAATTAGTTAAAAATTTTTAATAATATAACCTGGAAAATTAAACTAAATACATGCAACTTTTATATTGAAAAAAAAACCACATGAAATCGAACATGTATATTTTATTGCCAACATTACAAAACTCATTGTTAACAAAGACAAAGTGACAAAAAACTAGTAGATTCGTCCTGTTTAAGCTGTGTATGCTGGTGTATTTAAATCTTCTAAATTGGCTCAAATTAAATTGTAGAGATATTGTCAGAAAATAAAAGGAGTTTGTCGGCGTCAATTAAATATTTCTGCAATAATCCTAAGATAATTGGCTTGTTTAAATTAAAGGTGTGACAAATGTTTATGCGTTCCTTAATCAGTAATCGTTTATTAATTTTTCAAAACACACCATTTCTTTGCAAAACCCATTTTTTATATTTTACATGTACATATATCAATAAAACATAAAATGACATATATCACCGTGAATATCCAGTATCGCAAGAATGTGCAAATAACGTAAATGTGCCCAAACCAATAACACATTAAGGAAATGAACCCAAATATCAAATTTTAAGAAATGAATTAGAGCATACGGCTGCTACATTATACTTCGACCAGCATTACAATTTTTTTCTGGAATATGTTTACTTCTTTAACTCATTCGACAGAAAGACGCCCTGATTGCCGTTTTGAAGGAGATTTTTGTGTTTTCGTCAAATAAATATGTACATTTAACACATTTAAAACATTATGTTTTCATATTCTGTATACAGGTCTAAGACATTTGTCAAACTACAAGTGTCATATAACAACAGAAGGAAGCTGGTAAAATAAAATTTAGCTACTTTTAATGAGATGACTGCCGTTGCTTCAGTGCTTCATTCACAAATTTGGCGTTACCTCAGTAACGTCCTACCTACTAAATTAAGTGTAATAATTATGACAGGAATAGAATATAAAAACATAATTATAAAATAATTTATTGTTGTAGTGTTAACAGAATCATATGTGTATATATAATATATATGTTATATGTAATATAAATCCGTGACAAAATGCTTCAAATTGAAAATCGGCGCTGGGGGCCATAACTTCACATTACTTATATTAAGAAACATTATTATTGTACTTGTCGAATTATTAAAAAATGTTGCTATAACTGAAGTAGGACTAGTCAAACTAAATTTTTTTTTATCATAATCATACTGTGCCGAATCGTTATTTAACTGTGGCGAATCGTTATTTGACTGTGGCGAAGCGTTATGTGGCGAATCGTTACTAATTCGAAAAAATCACTGCAGGGGATCAGTTTGAGAAAAAGAAAAAGTCATAATATGACTCATTAATATGAGTCTATTCACTCAAGAACTACAGTCACAAATACTAGTAGACCAGCAGATTTTTACAAGACAAAGCAATACCTCTTTATGGAATAGTAAATCGCATCACTATCATTATATGATAATTGAATTTGTCATAAAATAATGGTTTTCCATTTTTCAGGTTGTAGATGAAAAAATTATAAACGATCTTTGTACAGTAATTGTTGAATCTGGTCGTAAATATGTAGGAAAAGATCCATCAGTACCTCTCATGTATGCTTATTATGATACAGAGTATTTAGGTAAGTTTAAATATAGGTTTAGACATAATTTTTATTTTTGTCTCCATGGTAACTTATAAGGTTAACACATTTTCAGCCTGAAGATTAAAATATCCCCCTTGACCCTTGGCCAAATTGGTTGTGTCGTTGTCATCAGTTGTCACATCTGTTGCCTCAGAGGGGCAACAAACAATATTCTATTTTTGGCCTTTGAAATTTGAATAGCTGTATAGCTGTTATATTTCAAACTAATTACTATTCCAACTTTTTTAGTTATTGATATTTTCAAGTATCATTGTATGTACATGTGCAGGGCCTTTTTAACTTCTATTACATGGGCCAGTATAGGGCTGCTTCCCCAAACAAAATTTCTTTAAAATCATGCAGTTTTCCCCAGAAATTGAATTTACATCAAATTTTTTCCTCCCCTTTTGCAAATGTACCATGTAATTTTCCCCAAATTAAGGGACTGGGCTGCTTCCCTAACCTGTGAAAAAAAGCCCTGATGTGTATGTAATAATATAGCAATCCAGTTTCATAATCAGATTTTTCTGATAGATGAAAAGTTGTTTAAGAATCAATTAATATATGCAATTTCTTGTGTCCAACCAAATGACAAATAGTAGTATGCAAAATCATTAAAATTCTATTAAATGGGCCAAAAAAGACCTGCCTCACATGTACAGTAGTGTACATGTAAGTCCATAATCACAGAACATTCTAATGTTGTTTTTTTATCTGTCAGGTGCAGCACATGGAATGTCCTCAATTCTCCAAACTTTGATGTGTTTTCCATCACTTCTTAAGACAAGTCCTGATGTAGAGAAGACTGTTCGAGCAGGTGTAGACTTCATGTTATCTCTAGAACAGGAGAATTTTAACTATCCACCAGCAATGGATGAAGTTAAACGGCATAGACCAGATAAGGAGGAGCTGGTACACTGGTGCCATGGTGCTCCAGGTCAGTAGTTTATTCTTGTACTTTTGTTGACTTTATATAATATAAGACTTTTTCTTGCATTACAGGAATCAAAAATGTCTGCATTGAAATTTAACAGTATTTTTAGTGTGATTGATAAATCACATTTAAGAAATTATATGAAAATTTGTAAGGATTTTTTTTGTTCTCCATCTTGCTGTATTTTGCCATATATTTGTGTACAGAAGTTGGCCTACTGCTGTGAGTTTAATGCATTTCAACATAAAACTGCTAAAACTGTAAGAATATGGTTAGATCACTGTGAATTCACTTCATTTTGCAAGCATGAAATTTTGTGGTTTCAACAAAAAAAAGGGAAATTTTAGGGTTTTTTAAATCTGCAGATTATCAGTTTTTGCAAAAAGAGTGAAATGGAAAAACATGTTAATAAAAAATAATCAAACTGTAGATCAATTTTTTTTTTTTTCATCTTAAAAGCATGGATTGATGATTAACCCACAAAAACCATGAGAACTATTGCCCCACAAATAATAATAATTTTGCAGTATACCCAGGCTAGCTTAACTTTTTTAACGATACATAAATGTTATCTACATCTCTGCTTATTACAGTTGGAACAGGCAAATCATTAATTGTCTCTTGTGCTCATAGATGATTTTTGCTATCTCTTACAGGTGTGGTTTACATGTTAGCCCGGGCATACAAGGTTTGGAATGATAACAAATATCTTGAAGCTTGTTTGAGGTGTGGTGAGCTCACTTGGCGTAAAGGACTTCTGAAAAAGGGGCCAGGAATCTGCCATGGTATAGCTGGAAGTGGATACGTGTTTTTATTGCTGTACAGACTAACAGGTTTAGTAATATGTGTTGTTTTTATGCCCTGTTTTATATTAATTAAACTATCTGTCTAACTATTAGGTTAATCTATTTCTACAAGCAAGATAAATCATAAAGTTCTACTTGTACAAATGTATTTATAACATACACACTAACTAACCCAGGGTTTTCATAATTAAGAGATTGGCGATCCATATCATTGGTTGAAATGCTGTGAAAATTGGTTCTATTTTTAGCCTGTCACGATTCAAAATATCCACCATTATCCTCAGCCAAACTTTATTCGTTATTCTTTGTTGCACCATCTGTCTTTCATTGCGCATACATTCGTATCTGTTGGCCTGAGAAGAAAGTGAAAAACCTAACTAAGCATATAAAGTCCACTATCTCATGGAATGCTTCAAATGTCTATATAGTTAACATCATTTTACCTAGAATCTCTTACACTGTCCTTTCCCCTTTCCAACTGATAACAGTACACAATTTCTCTTTTTCCCCTTCAGACATCAATTACTACACAAAAACCATATCTTTTCGTCTTTCCCATTGCAATATATGCATGTTTACATTTACCCGACAACAACAAGAACCCTTTCCTTCCTGTTTAAAGTGACACAATTGTATAGTACAAAAAATTATTTTTTTCCCATTTTAAGTGATATATGACAAAATTTACCTGTCTTGAGTGACCACTTGTCAATGAAGACCATTATATCTATTTTCCAAGACTCGTTTGATTTGAATAAGAGATATAGCTGGTTTTAACTCTGAAGATAATGTCCTATGTTTTGATACTGTTAAAGGATTGAATGAAAATAAACTTAAAGGACTAAATGACAATAAACTTTAAAGGATTGAATAAAAATAACTTTGACATATCTTATTTTCTTTTTCAGGTGACCAGAAGCATTTGTACAGGGCATTGAAGTTTGCGGAGTTCTTATTTTCGCAGGAATTTCAACAGGCAAGAATACCAGATAGTCCCTACAGTCTGTACGAGGGCTGGGGCGGCACTGTTTGTTTTCTAGCGGATCTACTCCAACCAGAGAAAGCAGAATTTCCATTCTTTGACATTTTTGTTGACTGAGAAACCTGTCATATGATACTCCAAAGATATATGTTACATATTGTAGAGGCTTTCACTGTAGAACTTGATAATACAGGCTTGAGGAGAGACAGGCTTTGCCAAAATGTAATGTTCAGCAATTGAAAATGTGCGCACTTTTCTGCACTTAGCATTTCAAGCATAAAAGGTTTCGCTTGTGAAATCTTTATATAAGTGGTTCTGCTTAAAATCTTTTAAACATTGTTGAGGTTCCCAAGGAGAGGCAATACTGAGAACCGAAAAGTTAACAATAGTATTAATATCAAGTATGAGTTACCTCCCTTAGATATTAATCTGGAAGCTGGCTATTGTTTTACCATACAGTATGACACATGTAAAGCTTTCTCAGATATTCAGCTGTTGATATTGCATTTGGTCTCGGACTCATAATATATGCAAGTAATTTTCATATAAATGAGGTTTATATTGGAAAAAATTTCCTGCTTAAAGCCACAACTGTTGTTAGTATTTGTATTGTTTGAGATTCAATGATGTTGATGATGAAATTCATCGTTTTTACACAAAAAATTTTTTTAAACACGCCATCCACACGTTACGTGTGTTATTTAATACTGTCTGTTTTGTGAGTGTTTCTTCGACTATTTGATAAATGGCTAAACTTCAATCTTGTCAATGCTGTTCGTTTCTCTGTCCCTAGTTTCCTATTTATAATTAATACTTCAGTTAACAAATTTATTGGATTTTTTTTTCCAAGTGCATTTCATTGAACTTTGTGCTGAAAATAATCAATATTTTGACTAGAAAAAAAAACAGAAATATGATAACGTAGTAACAAGAACAAGAATAAACTCGAAATTGAGAAAAGTTGTAGAAAATACTGAAATGGGCAATTATATTAAATACACCATTGAAATACTTATCTCTGAAATTTACCTGTTTTCATGTAAATGTATCATTTGTATATGGAAATTTACAGTGATATACCTATAATCGTTGGCCTATATTGTTTAAAAGTTACCTGAGACTTATAATACCCAACAGTTACCAAACATACACATGCATTTACCTCCTCTACTCACTTTGGTTAATGATACTAGTAAGTTGCCTGAATAATACATTAAAACTATTTTAAGAAATATTATTTCAGTTGTGCTCAGTTGCCATGTCACTTTGGAAATGCATTATGCATGGTATAGTTTTGTGTTGCTATAGGTAACTAAAGTTAATGAAGTCTTGTTCTTGATACAAAGTTTTCAAGGTATGTTCTCTTCTTACCTATGTGCGCATGTGTGTAAGAATTGTATGCCTCTATGATATGCTATAGAAATTAGTACTGTGACGTCACAATTAAGGTATATATGAAAATCTGCTTTAAAAGCTAATAGATTTAGTCAGTATTGTTATTATAACAAATTACAATCCATTACAAATAAAGAGTATTAATAAGTATATAACAAACTATATTATCATGATAAAGATTATGATAAAAAAATTATTACTAAACAAAACATAATCTCATAATGCTGCACGTGTAACGTGTGATAACGTTAAATCGCATATATTGCAGAGATTTAAGTGACCTGGGGTGTGCGGATCAGATTTTAAAGGACATACGAATTTAATCCCTACATTTTCTCTATACCTTCTGTTTCTATTCCCAAAAATCTAAACATAAGCATTAAAAATTATTTAAAAAAAAACAACAACAACAGAAAATCGTCTTTAAAATCTCGCTTTCTTATATTACAGTTATAATCCCTTACAGTTATAATATATATATTTTAATACAATTTTTAAAATGCGCGAAAAAATAACTTGGGAACTTATGTAGATTACAAAATGGCGGGATCCGTGTCGCATTGTAAGCAGACGGATTAAGGTACTGCTACCAGCAAAGTGTTTGGATTTATATATTTAATGTAATCATGGAGTAGTGTTATATCGTGGGTTATGAATATTTTCATAAATACAACATTTCACGAACGCAGCCAATTTAATCCACGTTCTTATATTTTGATATATACATTTGATATTGTTTGGAGATTTTCATATTTTTTGTGCATATTTTGGAATGTATATCAAACAGTAGCTATAATTTGGATATTGGCGGAATGACGGTGAGTTATAATTACCGTTCCATCTTTTCCTCTTTTTTTTCTTTTCTTTTTTTTCCTTTATGTAGAATAAAACATAGCCGGTAGGTGTATGCAATTGGCAATATTTATGAACATATATTTTTCACCGTTGATATACTCTAAACACTAGAAATAAATCACAACTCCGTGACTAACGCAGTAATGGCTATTTTTTTGCATATTTTGACCTCTATTAGGTAATATACATGAACTGTAAGCGCAGTTTGCAATATGTAAATTAATATCTTTGTTCACTTCACAAGTCTTTTAAATACATTTTCAAAATTTCCATGAAAATAAGATCTGGAGGCACGCTACACTAACTTAATCATAAGTGATAGTTTTCTTTTGCTTGGGTAATTGTTTAATTTTATTAACAATTCATTCTACTAAATGCGTTTTTCAAATTTGTCAATTCCGCGGGGATGGGGGACCGCATCAATAGTTAATTTATTTTATAAAACGTTAGTTTTGTAATTAATTTACCAATGTCTTTGTCAAATAACATACCATTGAAGATTTATTTTAGTATTAATTTCGCAAATAGTTAGGATATGACAGCTCCTTTAATTAGCCCAGCTAATTACTGTCATTTGGGCGCTAAACAAAACATCCGATTTATGATTTTTGCAAAAGGTTACGCACGGGACAGTTTTAGGTTGTCCTTCGCGAACTGGCTATATCCCGTACGTAATAAACATGTCCGTCACAATTACGGACAAACTGACACATTATACATGTTGCAATAGTTTTTAAGATTTTTTATCGCGAAACCTGTTATCATCCATATTTAGGTAAGTGATAGTGGACAGTCAGTCTGATAAAACAAGGCTCAAGTTCAAATTAATTATTTTGGTTTTCATTGTGTTGGTCCTTTTGTTGTACCTTGATCTGTAAACCGTTTCTTGATCAATCTTGAACAGCACCTTTGCGTGTTGGCCAAAAATTGAACTTTACATTCCGGACCTTTAAAGGGAATACGCGACTACACCCAACTTTCACTTGCTACTCGTACGTGAACTTTTCATAAACGACTTACCGAACTTTAATATAAATTCTTACAATAATTAGACTTCGTTAATGTGTAATATCGATTTCACAGAACACCGCGAAAAATCTCACTACAACTGAACTGACACTTTAAAACGTCTAGTGCGATTTAACACAAAAAAATACAGGAGTATTCACGGATTTATACAATTCCATTGAAACAAAAGCGCAACGTCCCTCCAATACCGTTACTAGAACCTCGTTGACTACTTTATGCACAAAACGTAAGTATACCTTTTAAAACAAGTTAATATTACATAATATAAATGGAATGATTACCAACAAGTTCTGATGGTCCCTTTATGATATGCGTACGCCACCAATATATAGAAAACATGTAATTTCTTCAAAATTCCTTTATTTTAGCAATGGATTGCTCCAAAATCAAAGCAGGACAAACCCATTACATTTTGTATGTGAATTTAGCATAATAAATAATCAATACGTAAAGCCAAATGTAGATAATTGCGTCAATTAATTATCATGCCTTTAACTGATGGCTTATGAACATGATCCGTCTGCATGTCAGGACCCTTGCATTTCATAGATCTTGATAATGCAAAAATTGTACAGTGCGGCTAAATGTGTACACGCAACCTTTGAAAAGCGACCCTCTGTAGAGTTATTACCCCTGGAACTACAGATTCAATTCTCTCTCCGAACGCCAACCCCGACGGCCACACTACCCTTGTCCCCTGACAAAAAAGACTTTACAATATACGGCAACAAAATATTTGTCTCGAAAGGGTGTTGCTCAGGAGAGGATGTTCTGTGATAAAGAAATAGATGTTTATTCAAATTAATCAGCTATGCACATTGATTATAATTGAATGGTTCGAGACCTGATACACCTGTAGGGCTTTGAGATTGATATAAACTCTCAGTACTGGATATGATAACTTGCCGGAACTTCTATGGATGATTTTTTTTGTCCAGAAAATCCAACCAGCATAACTTGTGTAGCTCCAGCCAGCGTTAGCAACCGACTTACTTGATCTAATTAAATCATTTATATAGCAAACAGATCATCCCCTTGGCTGTCTAGTAGGTTTTTTCCTAAATGTTATGGCAATTTTTAATCATACAAAGATTTTAGCAAGCGACTTTTTTGAAGTGAAAAATATATTTTTACGCTGCAAGGTATACCAATTTGTGATTAAGTTGACATGGTCTCGAGTTCATACTACATTTAAAATCTTATTTCTAGTGTTTTATTGGACATAGTCTTTTTTGTTATGTTTCTTTATCTTTTTTTTTCTCCATTTTTTTTGTATAAGAACAAAATTTCATCGCTTTGTTTAAAGCTGCATGTTACTAAGAACAACTACTCAAGACTAACCTTCATGCTTCAATTTTAATTCGCAGCTAAATTCCTCGTAGACTTAAAATAGTATTGTTTCTTGATTACGCAAGTTGTCTTTATTTTTATTGTATATATGATGTGAAATACAATACCCTTGAAGTCAGATGATATTTCGTTATGAAGCGTGTGTCAACGTACACTTGTACGTTAACTATTGACCCTTATTTAGGGGTCACACTGGTTCGATACTATACTTTGCCACTTCTAAATATTGTATTTAGAAAGTAAAATAGTAAGATCTGCTTTTGTCTTAGACACATGCGAACTTGTAATTAGTCACTGAGTTAAATGACTCAATACTGAATTGTGCTGTGACCCTTTACTCTACAAGGCTGGGAACAATTTTATACTCACGTTTTGGTTGTAGGGCCTACCATGGTATGAGACAAGTCATGGACTGTAAATAGGCTACAACAATTTTTTTTATTTTCTTAATACTTGTACATTTGTATATTTATATTGCATGAATAACAATATCATCATTATTAAACATACTTTTGATCAAATCAATGTGACAAGCACCTTTTTGGCTATAATGACTTTTGTGGCCAAGTGGTCAAAAGTCGCTGAATGCCAACTATTTGCCTCTCATTGCGGTTGCTTTGGAATATTTCAATGAGGAATCCATTCAGTTAGATTACAGAAAATCGGTGGTTTTACTCGGGTGCCCGCCCGAGTCTGAAATAACTCACAGAGTACACAGGGTCGGTGTGACCCAACCGAAAATTTAAAATAAAGTAAAAACGATAATCAATAAACGAGGAATTTTCTAAAATGTAGGCTTAAGTCACAAATGTTGCATTTAAGAGTGCAATATTAAGATCATTATGTATGGCTATTTTGTGGTGGTTATCAAATGTTTTAAGCCGCTATACATAATAATGCAGCGTTCTTATGCGCAAATGCCTAATCTTAATGCCGGTTCGAAGAAATATAGCATAAAAATAAACCAGCTCTCGAATTAAACTACTCAAATTTTCAAATAAACAACCACAAAATTGTAAACAGAAAATTCTTGA